CTTTCCCTTGGACTTGATGGGTTCCGGAAAGGGCTTCTCAGCCTTGGCACTTCTAATGGACTCTGTCCCCAAGTCATGCTCACAGCAGTAGGACTGCCCGTCCTGGGTAGAGCTGAAGGCTGTCCCATCTTGGTGTTCCTTGCAAAACGAATTGGGGCAAAAGTGGCAAAATGAAGTAGAAGGTTTGCCACACACGTCGCAGTGATGCCAAGGACATTCCCACTTCCCTGCAACGAAACACAATGTATCACCAGGCAGAAGTGACAAATCGCAACGACTTAATATTTTCGTGGTCGAAAGCAAATTTTAAAGCTGTCTTGTCAGATAGATACAAATCCAAAGGAGAGACTGCTTTCCACCCAGCCGTCAAAAGACGAAGCGAAGCTGACGCTGGCGCCCAGAGGCCCGGGGGGCCCCCCGGCCCATGTCTGGCCACGTGCCCACCTAATGGCGCGTGGCAGGGTCGAGGGCACTGGCTGCCACTGAGGCCGGGCCCTGCGTCCAGGCGGTTCCAGCCTTCCCCGCGCGAATGCGCAGGCCCGCTAGGTCAGGGACATGCCGCAGCCACCGCAGACAGGCGCCGACACTGGCGTCTGTCCGTTACCTGGCTCCGTCGTCTTACTATCTGAATCGTGAGCTCTCTCTCACAGACAAGCCTGCCTTCCCTGCGCAGCTGTCTGCATTCCTGTCTTTGAGCCTCGAGTTTCTTTCTGGGGTTGTCAGTTTCCCCACTGGGGCCGTGGTCTCCCTGAGGGCTGGCCTGTCATCTGCCTGCCTCCTCCCCAGGTCCCGTGGGGCTGGGAGGTGGGGCCGGACCCTGCAGCTGCCTGCAGACCGCAAAGGGCTGGGCTCCAGGCTGCCACGCGGGGCCACCGGCCTTGCTCTGGCCCCACGCACTTCAGACTCCGGCCCATGCCGCCTCCCGGCTGGCCCCCAGGCACACGCGCACACACGCTCACGCGCACACGCACGGCCAGCCCAACACAGCGTGCCTGGCAGGGGGCTGGCCGCCCAGGCCCCCAGGGACTCCAGTGGGCGGGGCTCGGGGCGGGGACCCACCGAAGGGCCGCTTGCCCAGGCCCAGGCAGGCCAGGTGGTAGGCCTTGGTGCAGGACCTGCGGTCGCACAGCACCAGCTGCCCGCCGTCGCCACAGCGGAAGCACTCGTCTTCGGACCGCTTCCCCTCGGCCCGCACCCTGCGCCTCCGGCTCTTCTTCCGGCTCCGCTTGCCCTTCTCCTCCGCAGACAGGGACGCCGAGGCCTAGGGGCAGGGAGGGCGAGACGTGCAGCCCACTGAGGACCTCGCTCCACGGGGCGGACGGCGAGCCAGGCCAGTCGCAGGGGCGGGGAGCGCGGGCCACCTCTCGGCACCAGCACGCCCTGGTCCCGGGCCTGCCCTTGGCACACGGGCTATGCCCCGGCTGCTTCTCCCCAGTGCGTGTCGCTAAGAGCGTGAACGAACCAGGGGCAGAGCCAGTGTGAACAATCAGCCCCGGGGGGCCGGTCGGGGCACTGGGTTGCATGTGTCCTCCCCGTTTTCATCCTCCCGGAAACTTAGAATGTGACCCATCTAGAAATAGGGTCATTGCAGGTGTGACTAAGTTGGGATGAGGTCACACTGGTGCTGGGCAAGCCTAATCCCAGTCTGAGTGGTGTCTCTATAAGGACAAGACCCGTGTGCGGGCAGAGGCCACGGGAGGGGCGGGCAGGGCTGGAGGGGCGTGGCCCCGTAAGGGACACACGCCCCCACTGCTCGGGGCCCCAGCGCTCTGCTGCAGCGCCCCTGGCATGGCCATGGCCACGGCCACGGGCGCGAAGGGAAAGCGGCAGCCGTGCCAGCCCTGCCTGTCACGGCGACACGCCGGCACAGAAGCCACCACTCGTGACCGGAAGGGCCGTGCTCCCAGGCATCGGCGTCACTACCACCGCTGGAAGACACGCGGCCGTGACCCTACCTTTGGCCGGTCCCCGAGGAAGCCGCTGCAGTTGGAGGCCCCGCACCGGCACACCGTCTTCTCGTTGCCGAGACAGTCGAGATTGTAGTTGAAGGTCAGCTCCGTCCCTGATGACAGAGAACAGGCCACACTGGGAACCCGGCTGCCCACGAGGGCCTGAGGCTCTCGTCTGGCACACCAGACACACCTGCCACCCCCGGCGCTGGCACAGCACGGCTGCGCAATGTCACTTCAAGAAACCGACGCAAAACGCAGCCGGCCATCCCGCCACCCCCGGGGCCTCAGTCTGGCCACACAGCCAGGAGCCTGTGCAGAGTCCTCGAGGCGTCATACCTGCGGGAATGTCGCACACGGCGAACAGGCCCACTCGCGTGTCGCCGTTCACTGTCCACTTGAGGGTCTCGCAGTTGGGCTGACAGCTGTGGTTCATGAACCGGGAGTAGTTGCCCTTGGGGCCGGCGTCGATGATGCGGTCCTGCAACGCACAACTCCGGCCTTAAGTGGCGCTTACACATGTCCCCTCGGCCACTCCTCTCGGGACTGCACAGTCCTGAGACGCGCTGGACAGCTGCTGTCGGACTGAAAACCGTGGTCCCCCGCGTCCACTCAGACAGGACACTCCCAAAGCAGTCCTGTTTCTCTTGCTCACGCCGTCAGGGGGGGCCACGGGGAGCGGCCGAGCCCTGGTGACAACGGGGAGGTGAGCTGGAGCCAACACCACCCGGCAGGTGACAGAGAAGAGCGTGAGGACCTTGGATGCTGAAGGTCAGGAGCACACGGAAAGGTTGCTAATGGAGAACAGGACTAAGCCCGTGGGAAATGGGTGTGGACATCAGCAGATGGCCCTCAAGGGGCCAATCAGATGGACGAGCGGGACGGAACAGCCGCTGAAGTGCCCATGCCCGTGTGCAGGGACGTCCAGAGGTGACGCGCTCAGTGACAGGACGGGGGACAGAGCAAAGCCCGCGGCTCCTTCCCCCCAGTCTCTAGACAAGCGACTGCAGGAGAGTGACAAGTAGAGAGGTGCACAGCGCACGTGAGGCCACCTCCAGCACCGTCACCAGTTGTGAATAGCGACGTCTGTGAGTGGGACACAGAACCAACACAGACCTCCGTGGCGTGAGGCCCAGTGAACCCGAGAGCACCAAGGCAGCCAGAAGCCCAAGCCACCCGTTGGGGTCCCCCGCCTGTGTGACAAGTCCCTGGGGGCCGGCCTGCGGCAGCTCTGCCACACTCTCACCCAAACTGCTCTACGGCTTGAAAGCTGAACACGGCATCGGAACACGCTTTCCTGTTCTTTGTCCCCACCAGCTGTGCAGCCCCAGCAGGGACGCAGGGCACCGACCAGCACGTGCTCAGAACTTTCACGCTGTCCCCTTCACCGCTCACGTCCACATGCTGGCGATGGCACAAACGCCTCCCTAGGACACGCCCTGGGACTGGGAGGCACAACACCCCGCCCACGACAGGACTGCACTGACCCCCACACACCGCCGAGCGCTCCTGCAGGGCCCGCGGTCTACACGGCCACGAGCGCCGGATCCTGACAGCCGCCTGTCGAGGACTTTCTCGGGCAACACCTGAGATTCAGCTCCGCAGAACTTTTCTCCCTCAGAACTGTTACTGCAACTATGTTACCATCTCCTCCTCTACGTGTCCAGACACTTCAATCCCCGTGGAGTTTGTACATGGAGTGACGGGGACACTGATGCCAGCTAGCATGGCCTCCGTCCTGCCTGCCACTGTCCCCTGCCGCTGGGCCTGGGCCAGGCTGCTGTCCCAGAAGCCCGCCCTCACCGGCGGTTTAGACCAGCGCTGGCGGCCACAGGCTCCCCTTGTGGGCTCCGGATGCCGGCGGGTCCAGAGAGCCCACTGGTGCTCTCGTCGAAACCGCAGCGAGCTCACGCTGGCAAGGGTCACATCCTGACGACACGGCCACCCCCAACCACAGGCATGGTCCTGTCACTGTCCAGTCGCCGACCAGACGTCCCATCTTCCTCCTGCCACACCCTGCCCGGTGGTCCCTGCGAGTCATCTCCTACTTCAGCGACTGCCTCTCTGGACAGCGCGTTTTCATAAGCCACCTAACAGGCCCATTTCAGAGACTGTGTCAGCTCCGTTTCACCTGCTTGCTCCCATCTGCCCGGCCCCCGGCACCACGCGGTTTCCTCGCGGCCTCCACCCTCCACCTCCCTTCTGGTTCGGTTCAACCGGCTCTGCCACACTGCGGCCCCCTCTCTTCAGACTCGGTCTTACATCTCGGGTTCTCTCCAAACACAGCCCTGGGTCTCAGGGTCTCCCACGGCCCCCTCGGCATGAAACATTCATGTCTCTCCTGAGTCGCGGACGCTGCCTTTGCCTCAGCCCCTGGGTGACCCTCATCTCAGGGACCAGTCTGTGCGTTAAATGACGGACGGGGCTCATTTGACGACACACGAGCAGCTTAAATTCAGACTGAAACACAGTGAGGCGCGAGCCTCGAGTTTTTGTTCCTCGTAAAATGACCTCCCTCGGCACCCAAAAGGGAAGGCGTGACAAAGGGGCGTGCACATTTGCCTGTGATCACGACAGGAGCCACCTGGAAAAAGGCCCAGCGCCCTCAGGTGTCAGTCACAGAGGGGACGCAGCCCGACCACCGTCTGGTAGACAGGCGTCCGCCCCCTCCTTCCGCTGAGCCCAGCAGCCAGGCCGGCATTCCAAAGCGCTTCCTAACCGGGGCTCAGACCCGCGGCACTGACGGAGACCAGCACGTGACGGCGGCACCCACTGCCCATGCCCACTCCTCGCCTGTGCGCTCAGCGAAACCGCACACTCTGCGCGCCCGGCGGGACACACGAGCCCGGGTGCTCTCACGCTGCCGGGAGCCGCGCGGGCTTGGAACCGAGCGGCCGCGTGCACGGGGCGGGCCCCGGTACCTTGTCGATGGTGAGCATGTAGAAGTGGGTGATGTCATTCTCGTGCGCACGCTTGATCCTCGCCATGCACTCGTCCTCGTCGATCAGCTCGCCCACGTACTCGTTCACGAACTCGCCCTGGCACCGGAAGGGCGCGGTCACCGCGGGGCCCTGCCGGCCAACTCTGGCCGGGTGCGAGGGCCCACGCCGGTGAGTGCCACGTGTCCCCCACAGGCTGGGCGCGCCACCTGCTCCCTGCCGAGCCACCTCCCCTTGGCCGGGCCGGTGCCCCCGAGCTTGCCGGCTGCTGGCTGGCTTCCTGCTGCAGGACAGCGATCGCCAGCGTTACGACCAGAGGCACGTTTTATGGGACCCTGTGACCTCTGCCCTGGCAGATAACTTTCAGGTGAAGTTTGACAACATTCGATTGTAGTAAGTCAGGTAACGCTTTAAGAGCCCTCCACCCACGAGTGCAAAAGCACGAGCAAATCCGGCCCAGGAACCAGCGGACCCAGTTCTGAGAGGCCGGGGGAGGCGCACACACCTTCCTGATGTCCCGCTTGGCGACCAGGCCCCACCCTTTGCCATCCGTCCTGATGATCTTGGTCTCGGGGTACTGGCGCTTGGTGAAGCACTGGTTCTGGCAGAACTCCCCAGCAGGGCACACCTGCGGGTGGCACTCGAACATCAGCATCCGGTTCAGACACTCCGAGTCGAAGCCGCACGGGTTCTCGTCAGTGGGCTTGCAGTTGCACTTGGGGATCTCGGAGATGTCGGCAGTGTAGATCTGCACCTTCCCGTACGGCTTATTCACCTGCGCAGAGAGGGGCGCCTCAGCCCGCGCCCCGCCACCAGGCCGGCGGGGGCCCGGGAGGCGCTGCGGCCCACATGGCACCATGGCCCTCACTGAGGCGATGGACTGGCTGACCCCCCACCCAGAGCACAGCCCTGACCCCACAGCCCGCGTTCCCATCTGTGCCTCTGTTCCTTGTTGATCAGCGAGAGCTGACGCTTCTCCAGCCGGCTGTTGTAACAGCGAGAGACACGAGACCCACTGTCCCCACGGCACTGGGAGGTGGCAGTGGTCACAGTCCCTGCTCCCGTGAACTCAGCTCGTCGCCAGTGAGACAAAGCAACTCAACAATAACGCGGCAGAGAAAAGTGAGAAGAGGCCAAAGCACGAAGGACGAGGTCTCAGGCGTGCGGTGGAGACGAGGGTCACTGCTGAGGGACAGCAGAGCGTGCTGGACAGCACTCTGCAGACTCGCTCAGAACCGACGTTTCCGGCTCTGATCCAGCAGCATCAAAACCCCCCGGATGAGGGTGGAGAGCGGTCCCCTCCCCACAAGCACGCGGACACGGCCCAAGCTTCGTGGCGAGGGCAGGGCCTTGACCAGCAGGCAGGCGGCCAGTACGCGTGCCAGAGGCCGTGGGCTCTGGGCGACGGGCACCGGCTCACACGGCACAGGCTGTGAAAAGGGTGCCGCCGCTCAGGCCCTGGCTACGCATGGACTTGCTCCCTGCCAGGACTCCTGGCCCCGGGGTGGACACAGGGCCACGGCCGGGACGCCAGTCCTGCCTCGCCTGCCACACCCTCTGAGCTGGGAAGGCCGTGTGGTCTCACGCCAGGCCCAGGCTGACCACTCTGGTCCCAGCACTGGGCGACGGTGTGCTCTAGGCCGGGGGCTGGTCCCCTCGCCCCTCCAGGGCTGCTGCCCACACACTGAGGCAACCACGTCTCCAAGCAGAAGCCCGGCCAGCTCTGCCCAGCCCCCCTCGTGGGAAGGACGCGCATGTGGTGGCGACGGTCTGCCATCCGCCGCTCAGACGTCACCTTGATGTGCTTGTAGGGCGGGGGCTTGCGCGCGCTCTCCTGCGTCTCTCTGGCTTCCCTCTGCAGTTTGATTTCACGGAAGCGTGCCTCGGCTTCTTGCAGCGCTAAAGCCGGTGAAACAGGAAAAGACGGTGAGCGGCCGCGACTCGTCCGCTGAGCCCTCCCGCTCCGCTCAGAGGGGTCTCCAGTTTCCATAAAAGTGGAGGGAACGGGGAACCAGGAGGGGCAGACACTCCCAGTCAGCTAACGAACCCGCTCACTACAGGAAAGGCCCGGGGCCGGGCCTCCGTCACGGTGACCACTGCAGCCCCCCAGCTGTGACCTAGTGACAAAGTGCCAGGCATGACACACTGCCCCAAATCAAAACAAAATTCATTCCATTCCTTTCAAGAAGACGCTCTGAGAAGTGAGGATGGAAAACACAAGGCCCTGAGCTCTGTGGGACACCGCCGTCAGCGCGAGGCGTCAGGGGCCAGCCGTGGCCAGGCACTCGTTGGCCAGGGCTGTGGCAGGCAGCTACTCAGGGCTCCAGTGCCGGGGGTCCGGAGACGGGCATCCCAACCCCACCTACCAGCTGGCCCATGCTCAGCACGCTGCCACCTCTCAGTTTCATGACGGGTTTGAGAATCTTTTGCTGCCCACCCATTCTCATTCGGGCCTGAGGGCCTACTGCATGCTGAGGACCTCTGCCCAGTGCAGACGTGGCCCTGCCCCTCGCCAAGGCCACCGGCTGGGACAGGCTCCTGCACGCCCTGAGTTGGCCATGGGCACGCTGTCCTCACAGTCCAGCGCGAGCACCATGTTCTCCAGTCTGAGGGCTGCCTTACCATCCTGTCTCCCACTTGACAGCAAACTCAGGGGCGGGGCATCCTGTCCACCTGCCCACACCTGACACCCAGTGTGTGCTGATGGGGGTGACATGAGCCACCCCGAGCCCCATGCACAGGGTCTAGACAGCAAGAAGCT